AAGGGAATTGGGCTCCACATCTTCTTGGAGACGGGGCACGTTTTTGCAGAAAGAGGAGACATGTCGGGGGGTTTTCTTGGGAGACTCAAAGTGAGCAGTAAATAAATCATACTTTGTCAAACTCGGGCACCTATGTGGGATGTGGGGAGACGCACTAGTAGAGGGGAATGGAGAGCAGGAGGAGGAGGACATTGAGGTGAGGCCCAGCCCCCCATGAGAGACCGACACTTGTAGCACTAGGAAGCAGGAAGGGCGCACACGCGGAGGGATGACAACCGCACAGAGCAGCGCCGGCCAGATGGACGACTCCCCGTGGAAAGACACACGGGGGAGCACGACTTACAGGACACGCAGCAGGCCCGCACTGATGCGTAAACAGAAAACGAAAAGGTTCTGTGTTAGTCTGGGTAGACTAGAGAAACAAATCCATGCACACACGTGTATAAGAAAGAGATTTAGATACAAAAACAATTGAACATTCAGAAACCAGGCTAGCCCAGCCCAGATCAAGTCCATAAGTCTAATACTAGCCCATCGGTCCGATAGCAATCTATAGTGGCCTCTTCAGACTCACGAAACACACGCAATGACGCAGCATGTGGAAGATCACAGCCAGTGGTAGAAAGTCTTTGGGTCCAGTGGCGTTGTAAGCATCTCAGCGCTGGCAGGGGTCTCTCTGTGGCTTCTCCGGCTTCCGAGGTCTGGTTGCATCCATGTGACTTGTCCGGCTCAGGGCACTAGGGTAGTTCCATGTGTCTTGTCAGCTGCAGTGTCTACCAGGGAGGGGCAGAGAGAAGTGTCTCCCGCCTCCAAGGAGCAAGTTACCAGATTTCCCAGAATTCTCAGAAGAAAGCCATGCCCACACAGAGGCCTCATTGCCTATGATTTGATTGACAGGCTAGACTCCACCCCTCCATTCTTAATCCTCAAATTGACAAATGATTATATATCTACCACAGGAGTGGTGGCGTGCCGCCTTGCAGAAAGGCCGTGGGGTTTGCTGTGTGACTGCTACAGAGCACTCCAGGACAGAGGGCCCGGGTTACGTGTTAGCAGGACACACCTCTCACATCACCCTGTGTCACCAGCATCCACCTGGGACTGACCCGAGACCAGAAGAGCCCGTGTCAACACGCATGACCTGTGAACTAAAGAGACATTATGTTTTTAAGAGGCAATAGATCAGGTCTATCATGCAGGACCTGCCTGTGTGTGTGTTTCCGAAAGGAGCGCATCTACTTCTCCGTGTGCGGGTTGTTCCGGTTCCCCCCAGCCTTGGGCGCTGGACTGCAGAACCACTGGAGAGGGAGTGCAGAGGGGTGTCGGTCTCACTGCGTTGGGGACGGGCACCTCTGGCTCCCAGGGAAGACCGGAGGACAGGGGTCGGTCGTGTCTGCAGAGACAGCCGTCTGCGTGAAAGCGCGACGGAGGCGTGAACCTGGAACCTAGATAAGCGGCTCTGACCCTAGGCGCGTAAAGAGAACACTTAGGTGCCATGTTGGAGTCATGGAAGCCCCAAGAGTGCGTCTTTACTCTGACTTGGCATCCCACTGCCGTGTCCATGTTGGCATTGCCACTCCCTTCACCTCGCTGAGTCAGTGTTTGTGTTTTACAAACGTGTGAATGAATCATGAACGTGGAATCTGCTTCCCCTGCCCCACCAGCACTAACCATTCATGTACCAGGCACGCCGCTCCCCTGTCTGGCGCTCTCTGGTCGGTCTGTCTTGCTCATCATTGATGTAAATGATCTCCTGGCATTGAGGGCTTTGTTTCCCTCTCCCCCACCAGAGTGGTTTACTCGTGCAAACAGCTCAGAAACAAACAATATTTGTGTATCTCCAAGTGGAACATATTTAAGCTTTGGGCACTGTAACCATTCTTTAGTAGAAAGAGTTGCTTAATTCATTTTAGGGAAAGGACAACCTTTATGGGAAGTGTTGCTCCGCTGCCTGTGTGAGGACTCTCTGGGCCAGTTTCCCAGAGTAGACCTCTCACCCCCTTGGCAGTGCTGAAACGAGATGACAGGGGCTCCAAAGCAGGTGCCCACACTTTACCCTGGGTGCGTGGGCACTGTACACGATTCTTAATTGCCACTAGGGCACAGACTAGTTTTTCTTTCTGAAAAGGGACCAGTAGACCAACTAAGTTTGGGAACCTGTCTGGGTATCAATGACAGTACTCCCAGTTGGCATGGGACGAAATAAAAAGGAAAACTTACTGGCAAATATATCAGTTTGTGGTTGCCCAGTAATGCTGCAAAGTTTCCATTTACAAAACGTTGGTGACGTACTGCCGGAAGCGGTTATGTCTGGATGTTTGGTCCCTTGGTGTGTGGGCTCAGAGGGGCTGGCTCATGCGTCATTGATGGTCAGCTGCTGGTTGGTTAGGCAGCTCTGCTGACCTTGGCCGGGCTTGCTCACATGTCTTGGGGTTGGTTGATTTTTCAGTTGGTGCAGTATGGCTCTGTTTGATGTTTTCAAATCCCAACAGGCTAGGTTGGGCATGTTCTCATTACTAAGGCAGAGAGAGCAGGAGAAGAAGCCCCCAAACACTATTTCAGGACTCTACTTCATATTTGTTAGCACCTTGCTAACAAAGCAGGTGTGTTAGGCCGGGTTGACTAGAGAAACAAATATAGAGATACTCATATATGTTTAAGAAAAAGCGTTGTGTCAAGAAGTAGTTATATATCAAGATAGCATCCCAGCCCAGTCCAACTCAAGGCCATAAGCCGGATACTAGTCCACAAGTCCCTCTTCAGACTCTCAAAGCCATATGCAATGATGCAGAATGCAGGAAGATCACAGACCAGTGGGTGCAGAGTCCCATGAATGCAATGGTGGTGGTCACAGCTCCAGAGCTCTGGCAGGTCCCAGAGTGGCTCCTCGGCAGGAAGGTGAAGGTGGAGAGAGTGAGGGAGGTTCTCAGGGTCTTCCTTATGAGAAGGCCACGCCCACAAGGAGGTGCCACCAGGCTGTGACTGACTGACGGGTTAAACTCCATCCCTACACTGTGCTATATCTTCAAGGTGACCTGAAATGATGTAACTGCCCCAGTGTTACTCAAAACCCGATTAGAAGGCCATCCCCAAGGATGTGGATACAGGAAGGGCTAAATAACTGGGCCCTTACTGCAGTCAGTCTGCTCTGGCAGATGTAACTGACCTGGCTGGGATCGATGTGGCCCCAGCCCCTGATGGAGCCAGTGTGTGGACTGATGGCACCTGGAGCCGACTCTCCAGAGGCCGACTGGGCTTTGCTCTATGCTAGCTCGGCTTTCAGGAAGGCCTTTTTGCATAATGGGATCCCAAGGCTCCAACAGGAAGGCAAGTAATTCTAGTTGAAAACACTCACTTTCTACTTGTTCCAGCTAAGCTCTTGGTAGAAGGTCTTTATGGATCAGTGTATGCCACCTAAGAAACTCTGATGGTACAGCAAGCTAAGCATTGGGCTGCCAACCTCAAGATTGGCAGTTCCAGCCCACGGGCTGCCCTGTGTGAGAAAGACGAGGCTGCTCCACAGACCTTATGGCCATTGGCTCAGTGCTGACTCGACGGCAGAACCAGGCTCTGTTGGAGGACAGCAGAGGACCAGGCTGTCTCTCGTTCTTTCGCCACGAGTCGGGACGGGTTTACCAATGCCTAACACCAACAGCATGGAGTGGAGACAGGGTGGTCATGATAATTGGATAATGCACTCAGACATTCAGCTAGTCAGTATGAAAGTAGAGACCCGAGCCTCGGTCCTTTCCTTTAGGCCTCTGTTGTTATTGCTCAAAGCTGAAGGCAAAGAAAGAACACCATAGACACCCCAAGAAGAGCAGGAGGCAACCTGGCTCCTTCATAAAGGCATTTGGGTCCTTGCCAACCCCCCACACTGGGCTTATTAAGTCCAATCTGACTCATAGCCACCCTGTGTGGGGTTTTCTTGGCAGTAAAGCTTTATGGGAGAAGACAGCCTAATTTGTCTCCTATGCAGTGACTTGGGCCTTTCCATTAAAAGGATCCTCATAACCCTGTAGCCCCATGAACCACTGTGCCCAAGGAACTAGGAGGGGGCACTTCTACTCCTCCTCTGTGGGGGTTATACGACCAGGGACATGCACACAGGCTACTAGTCCCCGGTGCCGTTGCTACAGAGCGGTGGGGTGTTTCATGAGACTACTAAGGCCAGTTAAAGTGAAGAAGTCCCCAAAGGTCACCTTCGCATGCATGTGTGTGGAAGGCGTCTTGACAGGAATGCCACAAGTGGGTAAGGAACCGAGAGGTATTCTCACAGTTCAGGAGGCTGTCAGTCTGAGCTCAATGTGTGCGCTGGGGGACCTTGTTCCTGATCGAGTTCAGCCCTACTGTGCAGCCTTCCACTTAGGAGGTCGCCTGCCCCAGGAGCCTGAGCGCCCCGTCTCCCCTGAGGCCGTGTGCCTCTGTGTCCAGTGTAGGAGTTGAGATGCTTGAGTTACCTGTTTTTCCAATTGTAGCTTAAACATGGCTAATAGGGATCAATCCACATGATGGATTAGCACTACCATGGGTGCAGGGAGGGCGTGACAAATACATGCGTGCCAAGTGGGTGACCTCCCAGGGAACAGCGGCAGGGTCTTCTCCAAGTCCCTGTCTCGTCATTTGTGTATTGGGGGTGGGGGGCCCCCCTCAAGATGAATTAGTTTTGCAGCTGGGGTTCCCGTGACAGTGACTCCATGGGGTCGCTGCATTTTCTGGAGATCCAAATTCTTACTTCATGCAAACCGGAATGCTGAGCTCCATTTTCCTAACGAGAAAGGAGTTTCTTGTGTCCCGAGAATGCTTGGCCTTGCATGAAGGCTTGGGGGGTGTAGGGGATTTGCAGAAACGTTCCTTACCATAGGTAAAATGTGGGGGCCGCTTTTCTTTCTAAGGGCGATCTATCTCTACCTGCCTATATCTTAAAACACACTAGCCACTACCGTCAGAGCTCTAAAGCAGCTTGTTCTGAATGATCGCTCTTCCTGTTTTGCAGATCTCTGATTGGAGTCATTCCCTGGTACAAACTATGCAAAGAATCCAGTGACCACTGTGGCCGCCAGTGGAACTACTGGCCATCTCCCACCGAGGACGGCGGCGTTTCTTCTCTTCTGCAGCACCTGGTAACCAAGGAACATGTACGGCAGCGCCAGAGCACTCGGTAACCTGGACGGCAGCCCTTCCCGGTCGCCTCGCTTGCCACGGTCCCCGCGGCTGGGCCACCGAAGAACAAGCAGTGGGGGAGGGGGGGGCACGGGCAAGACGCTGTCCATGGAGAATATCCAGTCCCTGAATGCAGCCTACGCCACATCGGGACCCATGTATCTGAGCGACCACGAGGGCGTGGCTTCCACAACGTATCCCAAGGGCACCATGACTCTGGGGAGGGCCACGAACCGAGCTGTGTACGGAGGCCGCGTGACCGCCATGGGGAGCAGTCCCAACATTGCGTCTGCTGGACTGTCGCACACAGACGTCCTTTCCTACACAGACCAGCACGGGGGGCTGACCGCCGCCTCCCACCACCACCACCACCAGGCGCCGTCCATGCTGCGGCAGGTCCGGGACAGCACCGTGCTGGATTTCCACGCGCAGCTCCGGGAGCTTCAGCGGGAGAACGAGCTCCTTCGCAAAGAGCTGGACATCAAGGACAGCAAGTTGGGCTCGTCCATGAACAGCATCAAGACCTTCTGGAGCCCCGAGCTCAAGAAGGAGCGGGTGCTGAGGAAGGAGGAGGCCGCCCGCATGTCGGTCCTCAAGGAGCAGATGAGAGTGTCCCATGAGGAGAATCAGGTAGGTGATGGTCCCCTCTGGTCTTCCGCCTCCGCCCCTCCCTCAGAGGCTGGAGCTGTGCAGAGGGGCGGTCACGGTCACCGTGTCTGATGTGGGCGCTCGAGGAACCCTGGGAAGTAGGAAGTGGTAGCTTGTGATTTTTCTATTTTCTAAAACGTGCCACCAACCCCGCTGGACTCTGCAGAGGCTGGGGGAGTGGCTTGCTTCTCACCGCCTAACGTGTCTGTCTGCCCGTTAACTTTGTTTTCTTTCTCCATCCCTGGCAGCAGGGGTTCAGAGGTACATGCCTCCTACCTCTGAATAGAAGAGGATGGTTACTTTTTGCACGTTTGACCGGTGAATGGATTGCTCCTGCAGAACCACTTCCTTCTGCTGCAGGACCGCAGGGAGTTTGTTTTCTCGGGAGCAAACTGAGCACTACCAAGTTGCATTGTGTAGAATGGGTTTGTGTATTTTGCCGGGCAAATCTTAGCCTGGTCCTTTCTTCCTCCACTCATTCAATATGAACGAAACACCGGCTTGGTGCCAAGCACATTCTTGCTGTCCCTTCCCTGCCCTCCACGGTCTAGCAGGAGTTGCTTTCTGACTGTTTGTCTGACGGTCCCATTCCATTTGAAAGGCCTCAGGGAATGCATAGTACCTTCAGAACAAAGTCGGCATCCTTGGATGAGTCCACGAGCATCATCCCGTAGGGCCTCTGCCTCTCCTGGGCTGCCAACAGCACTCCGTGTGACTCTGTGTGCTGTGACTCGACCCGTTCTGCTGCTGCCGTCCACCAGAGGCCTGCGCAGCAGCCGGACCCCGCCCCCTGGTGTCCTGCCAGTCACAGCTGGTTCCTGTTTTCAAATCCTACCTGCTCAGAGACTCCCTTGACCCACTGCTGTTCCCAAGGGGATATGAGAGTCAGACCCACCTTCCAGCCATCCCAGTTTCATTCCTTCTTGGTAGTTAGGGATAGAAGGAGAGTAAGGGGTGCTGAGCCATCTGCTTGAAACATTCCCAGGTACCATTTAGTGTCTTAGAGATGGGGGGGGGTCACTCTAATTTGGACTGAACCGGAGTCTCAGAAACCCACAGGGCTCAGTATTGGCTCCAGAGTGGCTCGTTTGGAGAAGTGACTCCCTCTGATCCTTGGTCTTGGTGTGGCTCTAAGGAAGCACTCCGTCTTTCTTGGGGTCACCTGGTGACCCTCCACCTGTTTTCCTGGCTATCAGCCTGTGGCGTCCAGGTGTCCGTGGGAGCGCTGGGACCGGTGTGCAGGATCTGCTCCTTGCTCTCCGAAGCCCGGACACTGCCATCGCATCCCTTTGCTTATCTGATGGAGCGGCGCTGGGCTCCCGTGCGGACTGTGGCTGGAACAGAAAGGGTGTCCTTCGCTCCCAAGTCCCATGGACTCTCTTCCCTGTTGGCTGCTTTCTTCCTGACTTGGCTGGCTCACTGGGCCCTGCAGTGGACCATTCTCTCCTTGCGTGGAAATGTTTTGGAAGACAGGTAAAGCAGTTTAGGAATGATAAGCACAGCATGAAAATTTTGAAAGTGACTCTCTAAAACCATATTACTTTAAATTTGTGCTCTTCATCATGATAATTTTTTGATTACAGGTGTCTAATGGTAGGTGGGCTTTGTCAGTAAGTAAAGTACCTGATGAATCAAGCCAGGTATCTTACGTGGCAGTCACAACGATCTAATGTAAATTGAGGGGAAAACCTATTGTCGTGATTTCTAATGACACAACAATCCTTTTGTTCTTTCTAAGAATATTTTAAAGGGCTTGTGCATTGCATTAGAGCCAGCTTGGTTTACAACTGAGTAAGACCCCAAACTCCCCTGAGCCACGCTGTGCTCTTGTAAGCCCTGAAGACTCGAGGGGCACCAGGTGCCCAGAGCGGTTCTGTTCTGGAACCTCCTGTGACCACTGGGTGTTTTGGACACCATGGTTGGCGTACAATTATGTGACTTGTGACTCTGTGAAAGCCCCACTATTATTAATCTATATGCTAAGTGGAAGTAAAATGTATTTAATTTCTCTCCGAGGTTAAAAAACAGTTAAGGCACAGGGAATCCAGGACAGATGAACCCCTCAGGACCAGGGGTGAGAGTGGCGATACCGGGAGAGTGGAGGGAAGGTGGGGTAGAAAGAGGGAACCGATGTGAACAACAGAAAAGTAGGTGAAGGGAGACATTGGACAGTGTAAGACATGACAAAATAATAATAATTTATAAATTATCAAGGGTGCATGAGGGAGGGGGGAGGAGGGAGGGGAAAATGAGGAGCTGATACCAAGAGCTCAAGTAGAAAGCAAATGTTTTGAGAATGATGAGGGCAAAGATGTACGAATGCCCTTGACACCTGGATGCATGTGTGGATTGTGATAGGAGTTGTACGAGCCCCAGTAAAATTATTTTTAAAAAGTTAAGGCAACAGAAGCACGGGAAGTTTGAAACGTCGGTCTGACTTGTGCTGTAAGCATGACAGTGAAGATTCGCGGAGAGCAAGCCACGGTAAAACAACGGAACCACTCTGTCTTCCCGCCTAAGAAGCAGGAACGCCTGATGGCAGCATCTCCCTCAGGGGCATTTGAGTGTTTCTTGGCGGGGTCGTTTCTGCAACATTCACACACCTTAAATATTTGTGGCTTGACAATCAGAGGGTTGTTTCTTGCTTAAGGAAAGTCTGAAGCAGCCAGCTTGGGCTCCAGAGAAGCTTTGCTCCTCGACGCGACTCCGGGACCTAGGGTTTCTGCGGGTTAACGTGTGGCTTCCCAGGGACGATGCCAGGGAGAGTCTGTGCAGAGGACACCTTGGCTCTTCAGTTCCGGGGACTGGAAGTGCCCAAGGGATGGGAGGTGTAGTCTTGTCTTCTTTCCAGGGAAACAAAAGGCAAAACAGATGATGGGAGAAGAGTAGAGATTTCTATCAGTGAGGCTTTCCGTTTGCCAAAAAGTGGGATTAGATCAAATACAATGAATTCGAGTTTGGGAACGGCTGTTGTTCTTCCTCCACGGTACAGCTACTGCTGCCGGCAGATGTCTCTTGGGGGCTCCCTGGGTGCTTTGAGATTAGAGCTTTGCACACAGTACTGTATTCAGTGTGCACCTCAGCCATCTGAGAAGCGAGGCATGGCTGCGTTTTAAGAGCAGGTGCAAATGTAGAGGATAAACGCCTAGCCAGCGTTCACCACTGGTAAGACAGACCTCGGTTTAGGCCAGGGCAAAGCCTAAGATCTTCTCCCCTTCCCCCTTGAAGGGGGTATTTATCACGGAAGCCAGTAGGCCCCGCAAGCCAAGATCAGATACGTCATTGGACCAGGGCAACTCTCCTCAGCCAGCAGCCAGGTGTCCCTCAAGTCCTCCGCCTCCCAGCCTCCTGGCTCCTGGGCCGCTGTTCCGTCTCCATGCACCTGGAGGCCAGCCTGCGGTTCTGCCTCCTGATTCCAGGGTCTCAGAGCGCCTCCTCTGTTTAGTCTCAGGGTCTCCTTGCCTTGGCCTCGGGTGCCTCTGATCCGGGCCTCCGCCACTGCAGACAGAAATGTCCAGTGTCCTCGGGTGGCTCTCGTGGGCTTCCTCAAAGCCTAACATCTCGGTTGTTTCAGCACTGTTGTTGGCCGATAATTCACATGTCATGCAATTCAATAGTCCAGTCACATCAAGAAGAGCTGCACAATCATCACCACACTCAGATTGAGAACAGTGCCTTCATCCTTGTACGCATCCTCATTAGCTCCCCATTTCCCCCAAACCACCACACCCCCAAGGACACCTTCATCCAGTTACTGTCTATAGACTCGCCTGCCCTGGATGCTGCATACAGAAAAAATGTTCACAACAAATGCTAACGAGAATATCCAAGTAAAGCAGACAGAAACCTCAGTAGAAAAGAAAGCAGAAAATAAAGAACTGTAACACATTGAAATGGATCATAAGGGAGATCACATGATGGGGTGCTAAATTTTAACCTAACTGCATCTGTAACAATCCACATTCCAGTGCATTCTGCATGCTAGCAAGGTGATGCACATCCCTGGTCCATGATCAGAGGGGCTTAATCCACATGTATTTCCCCTTCACTTTTCTTTTTTAATAAATGGAAACAGCTTTAAAATGGGTCAAAAGAGAGAGCAGATGATATTACATTTTACCCTAACTACATCTGCTGTAATTAACTTTACAATGCTCCATGTCTGATAACAAGGCTACTCACATCTCTCAACCATAGTCAGAGGGGATTCACCAGAGGTTTAATCCACGTGGGGACGCTGTCAATGGATTTTGGGCTTCCACTGTCATCCATAACCGTCCACTATCAATATAGCCCAACCAGGTGTTCACAATGTAAGCTCTGATGCCATTTCCCCTTTCAGATTTAGATTCTGTTATTTACAATCCTTGGACCATGTGGGCTGGTGTGCTTCTTCCATGTGGACTTAGTTGATGCTTCACTTAGATGGCTGCTTGTTTGAAAACAAGCCTCTAATACCCCAGGCACAATTCTTTCTGATAGCTGGGCACCACCTAGTTTCTTTCTTACAGTTGACTGTAGCGCCCATTCTTCAGTGATCTCTTCATGACGGGTGAGTGTCAAGCTGGGTCATGTCATAAGAACTAATTGTTCTTAGATTGGGGCTAGAATTAAGTACAACCCAAAGTCTATTCTTGCATCTAGGGTTTACATGCTTATCTGTCCACCTTAGGTACATCATTGTCATTTCCTGTCAGAGAGCATTATCATCCATTCCACTGGGGTCTCACTTTCACTGCCGTCAGCCCAGTGCTGACTCATAGCAATGCAGCAGGGCAGGAAGAACCGGCCCTGGAGTCTCAGATCCAGCAAGCCATCACAAGAGCAGAAAGCTTCTTCCTTCGCCTGCAGAGCTGGCTGGTGGTTTCAAACTGCTGACCTTGGGGTTAGCAGCCAAATGTATAACCACTACACACTGATAGAGTCATTACTTTAGCCAGTGGTATAGGATTTAAAACACTGGAGAAAGGGAAATTCTATGA